TGGCCAAAAGTTTTGGCAGTGACATATATTTTGTGTTTTGCAAAGTTTGCTGCTTAAGCTGTTGTGGTGTTCATTCACATTGTTTCTAGATTACTGTATAGAGTGATCAGATGCATTTTAAATCATTGCTAAAAGCTTCATTGGCCAAAAAATTTACTTTTCACAAAAACAACAACAAATGTCACTGTTTTTTGATCCTGACAAAATGAGCAGCTAACATTAATCGACTAATCATATCAGAAGCACATGTGAAAGTGTGAATGAGTACTTAGTCAGGTGAAATCACTATCATACTAATTAGATCGCAAGAGCAGACTGATTGCTATAAAAGCGCTTCCAATCATCGTGTTCTTGTTAGCAATGGTTACCGCCAAAGAAACATGTGCAGCCATCACTGCTTTGCATCAAAATAGCCTCACATGCAAGGAAACCGCTACAAAGAATATTGCCCCTGAAAAGAAGCATTTACCGGCTCATCAAGAACTTGAAGGAGAGAGGTTGGACTGCAGTGAAGAAGTCTTCAGGACGTGCCAGAGTGTGCAGCAAGCACCAGGACCATCTTCTCCTGAGGAGTCAGCTGGACTCGTGTCTCCAGCAGTGCAGAGCTTGCTCAGGAATGGCAGCAGGTTGCTGTGAGAGCATCCTAAACCTCAAGGACAGACTGCTGCAAAGTTACTTTCTCTGATGAAGCTCCCATCCCACTGTTTGGGACATCTGGCAAATCGATTGTTCTGAGAAGAAAAGGTGAACGCTACCATGAGTCCTGTGTTGTGCCAACAGCGAAGCATCCTGAGACCATCCATGTGTGGGGTTGCTTTTCAACCGAGGGAGTGTGCTCTCTCTCATAACTCTGCCCAGAAACTCTGCCATAAAGAATGTAGCACAACGTCCTGCAAGAGCGACGACTTCCACCTATCCATGAGCAATTTGGTGATGATCCGGGCATCTTCCAGCATGACGGAGCACCGTGCCACAAAGCAAGAGCGATAAAGAAGTGGCTCGAAGATCATTATGTTGGATCCGTGGCCAGGCAACTCCCCGGATCTCAATCCCATAGAGAACCTGTGGTCAGTCCTCAAGAGGCGAGTGGACAACAGAAGCCCACAAGTTGTGATCAACTCAGAACTAATAAGGCAAGAATAGATCGCCATCCGTCAGGATTTGGCCCACAAGCTAATATCCAGCATGCCAGAGCGAACTGCAGAGGTTATGAAGAACAAGCATCAACACCGTAAATATTGACTCGTATTATATATTATTTTCTTTGCCAATAAAAGCCTTTAAAACTAATGATATGCTTATTTGTTTTTCAGTATACCATAGAAATATGTGGAATCATAATCTACAAATTCTGAAGCCGCAAACTTTGCAGAACACCAATTTTTTCTGTCCACGCAACAAACTCTGAAGATCCTAAAAGGTTATAAAAGTAATTTAATCCAAGTCTTGTTATATGATCACTTTTTATATATGAAGTTAAATTAAAATCCATTTTACTGATGCACATAAAATACAGTTAACACAAAATGTATGTGACGCACGACGAGAACACCTCGTTGCTTCTCACATCACAATGATTTGATGCCTTATACATGTATCTGTGTGCATGCAAGTGACATTAATTCTACTACTTAAAATGAATTAGTTCATCAAAGCAATCATACCTCTTCCAAAGACTCGGCTTAAACCGCTCCATTCATATGGATCCGTTTTACATCACCGTTATGGCCTTTTTGGTTTTTCAAAGTTTGGTTGCCTGTACTTCAGGTTTCATGAAAAATATTTTACTTTGGATTTTGGAGAGAACTGATTCTTCAACGCTCAGACACTTGAAGGGCATGAAGAACAGTGCTATGCCTGGTGTGGATGTCATGTACTTCCTATAACAACCATTGACACCGTATGTATATATTACTGACAGTGAAGTTACCTGAAAACACATTATTTCCTAAAGATAATCAGACATACACCCGTACCTTAACTTAGCCTAAAAACAGACAGAATATCAAACCGTCAAAATTAACTCTGTGCGTTTCCACAAACACTTGATGTGCTTTTTATTGCTTAAATTTACTAATGTGGCCACATATTTACTGCCTTCACAATGTAGTCAAATGCGTACATATAAGCGTGCGAAGCACATACAATCTTCACTCATAATATATATATATGGAATCTATTAGATTACTAGAGATCCCCACTCAGAGATTCCTGTTGTAATGACTGTAACTCCAGCGAAAATTCAGAAAACAAGTGTATAAATGACTTGATTTGGAGCCGAAACTAACACCATGTTGTTCTTCAGTTCAGATATATTCCATTTCTAAATTGATTAGTTTACTGTGTCAAAGTTGCCCATTTAAACACGAAAAACTGTTCAAACATTTACGTCAAAGCTTAACTAAGCCACTGTCATGGACTACTCTGACAAAGCCCATAGAAGGCAAGCCTGCAGCCGTTAGCCAAAAAGCGTAACGTCTAACGCTAACAGAAAGGAGACCAGAGGGGATTTTTATTTTTTTGAATGGATGTCAATGAAGGAGAGGCTTCTCTACGCTGAATAAACCGTTCATCATTTAATCTATTGGCTCATCTTCAACATGTTTTACACCAAGTAATACTTTTGAATTGAGCTTTTTTTTTTTTTTTTTTTATAAAGAGTTTACACTGGGGGGAAAAGCAGTTTTAAAAGAAGTCACTGATGGTTGCGAGCAGTGGGATTCCGCTTACGGCATTCATTCCTATGGGATCCGTAAACGACGATCGAGTGTCGTACAACTCTGACTGAAACTCAGTGACGTCAAGGCTGTAATGTGATTGGTTATTAAGGCTCAGGTGATCCGAGTTAGCCGTTACAGCAAGTAATACAGAGCCTCTCATCTCCCTATATTAAGACCATCTCTGATTCTGATGTGTAAACAGCACCATACATACCATACCAACCTATGAAGCAGACATGCTTAGAAATATTAAATTTTGAAAACTATGAAGTGTCTTTAATTAGTTGTGTTGGATATCTAATGTTTAAAGACCTTTTTCCTTACCTTTACCTCCGCAGAGTGGATCGTTAAGGTTTAAAATGAAGCACATGCACAATTTGCTGAAACTCTCGAAGATGTGTTCATTAAGAAGGAGCTACTGATGAAAATCTCAATATTCAAACCCAGCAAAAGGGTTTCTGTAGCAAAACCAGTATTTAAGCAAGTGAACTGAAGTTTAAAAGAAAAATAAATTAATAAAGTGCAAATGGACACAGTATATAATAGTATGCTCGGTATGAATGATGAAATGAACGCATTTAAAATATATTAACAAATGCAATATTGGACAACACTCCGAAGTTAAAACGGAGTTTTGCATGTATATTAGTCAAAACATTAAAATAAATGTCCTTCTTTAAAGCACTACTAAATGATTTAAAATGCACATTTAAATTAAACTTAGTTCTCTTCAAGTACACTTAAGTGGCCTTTAATTTTAGTCAATATTGTCTGCAAGTACACTTAAAAACCTGTTATCCCCATGTTTGTACATATAATTGATCATATATGTCTCCAGCAAACAATGGCAATATGTGCATATATCTTCACATCTATTAACTATCATTATTGTATATGGTCATAAATCAGATATCCGGATGTAGTTTCCAGAACCCGGAAGCTGTAGAGAGAAACTTCAGTTCAGGGCGATTATCCACAGATATGTATAGACACCACGTTCGACCGCTCCAGATGCGCTGACGCGTCCGCCATTTTGGAAAGGTCAACTTGACGTCATTCACCATAACAACCATGAATATTCAAAGATACACATGCGTATAACTTGCTGTTGTAGACACACAGTCAGCTTGTGCTCGAGGGTTCACAGACGGTATCGCGGCCCATAGAAACAGTCGCTAATGAGGCATCTACATATATACATCTATGGGATTATCACTAGACGCGTTACCTGGGTTCGTGCTCCGGTCCACTAACTCTTTTAAAATTAAAAGAGAGGGCAAGGCCCATTCGCTGGCTGGCCAACGTAAGTTTCGTTACCGGGTTCATTATTATTATTATTATTATTATTTTTATTTTTATTTTTATTTTTATTTTTTCTTCATCTTTTATTTTTTCTTTTAATCTTCGTACTTCATGTTCTTCTTCTTTCTTCTTCTTCTTGGTGTTTAATGGCGGATGGCATACAACTTTTATGTGCATTACCGCCACCTACTGATTAGGAGTTACTTCATGTTCTTCGGTGTTTCTTCTTCTTTTATGCGTTTTCTGACGGGTGTCAAACTACCTAACGTTCTAGGTTCATAGCGCCATCTACTGTGCTGGAGTTTTTTTTTTTTCTTCTTTTATTATGGACTGTTTTTATACTTTATGGTGTTGTTCGGCCATTTTAGACTGGAAAAAAAATGTTTCTAAATTTAAAAAATAGCTACTTAATCGGAATGGTACGAAACTCAGTGACTTTTGTAGCAATCGCTATGTGACCAGACCCGGCAGCGGCTATTTACACTAAGTGCAAATAGCTATAAATTCTGTTTACACTGTTAAAATAGCAAGATGTTCTGCTATTTATACTACTTATTACAAATAGTGGCAATTATCTGCACCTCAGTATTGTAGTACATTATAAAACAGTACGCAATAATAACTTATCGAGTGTAAATTATCATTTTAATTCAAATTATTTAATGGAAAGCCCTCCCTACACCTACCCTAACCGACACTTTTGTCAACTTTTTGATTATTTCTTTCATTTGTATTGAAAATAAATGCCTTTCCGATGCGATATGAGATTTGAAAAGGAAGAAAAAAAGTTTGGCAAAAGGTGGACTCGAACTTGGGTCGATCGCATCAAAAAGCACGCGCCTAACCATCTACGCCACTGAACCGAGGCTTACCCAGTGTCTGTTTTCAGTCTTGGCTGTGCCAATCACACGTTGGTGGGCGGAGTTAGTGTAAATAGCCTCTGGCTCGATTTCATTGGTCAACTATATCACAGCGCTGATTGGCTACACAGTGTTGAAACAAACAATGTTTAATTCAAGAGGTATACAAAGTGATATAAGAGTATAAGAAATGAAACCATTTACAACCATTACCGCGTGAAGTAGGGGTGCTGGGGGTGCTGCAGCACCCCCTGGAGTGTAGCCCAAGAAAAAATGGGGGTGCTTGGGGTGCGGTGTTGAAAAGAAATGAATCAACCTTAAGAAATGAATGAACAATATGTAATACAAAATAAATAATATTCATTTGATTAATTAGTATATTCATTCAAATTCATTGAAAAAAGTAGCCTAAGCCTACAATGACAAGAAGCAATGGTTAAATATGAGTTGAATCAAATTAATTGACTGTGAAAGTCGTTTCAACTGATTAAACTTATTTAACTGACTTAAAAAATCATTTGTTGCCATGATTTTAGGATTATATTATAACCTGTAACATGTCTTTGCCGTAAAAACAATTTCTACAGACAGCAGAGAAAGAGCGAGAGCGTCTACCTCAGCAGCAACTAATGTCGCATTCTCACATCTGTAGCGCTTATTTTGATCTTTAACGTTAGGTCTTTCCTATTCTTGAAACAAAATTAATTCTTACGGTTGATTCAATATTACTCTTAATGAAAAACACACACACACAACATCAACAATGCTACAATGACAAAGTCGCTTATATTAAACATAAAGCTTTTATGAACAGATAAGAACAGATAAGATCAGTGGCGTAGCATCTGGTTATGCAGGGTATGCAGGTGCATATGGGCCCGTGCAGTTTGGGGGCAACGAGGGAACGAATAGAGCCCTGCACGGCCCTTGTCCAACAGCTTTATGAGAATTCTTGGCCCGAGTCCGAGTGACTTTTCTGTGACTTTTCTCTCGCTCTCTTCCTCATTACACAGCTATTAAAATAGTTCAGTTTTGGTTTTTAATGGCAAAGTGGTCATATTTCTTTTTGTTTCTTTATGAAGTTAATTTAGAAATATGTTTGGAACATTTCATGTTTGTTAACTTCAAGTTTTTGTTTTTTAAAGGAACGACCAAG